AGTTACTTTTAAGGCATGTAGTCTTACTGGGGAATAATAAACTCTGTGTATCACATTAAATTGAATGAGTTTATGGCGACTATTGATCGACAGATTCTGAGCTTTCTCACATATGGTTTCCCATTCATTATCACTAAATGAGCACTCCAGGTCTTTTTCCCCATATAGATTTAACATTGCAAAGATTGCCAGCCATCAACTGGGGCAATTTACCATAAATAAATGATATTTAGGATCTTTTTTATCAGATATGATGTCCTCCGGGGGAAGGGGAAAGGTTAAATAGGCGACCATCTTGCTGAATCTGAATGTAGTGTCTAACTTTATGTTTCTGTTGTAGCTTCTCAAAAGACATTAGTGTATCATGATTATCAATATACTCATGTACATTATACAAGTCAAAAATGAACCCCATGTCTTTGTTCTTCATTCCTAATAAAACTAGATCTACTTTTACTTCTGGCAATATCCAAGGTGGTACTATTGGTAATGGTACTGTTGGACTGATTTTTAATTCCGTTAACTTGAACTCTGTTGCTTTTTGTATAACTGTCCACCCAAAGCTTTTTGTCTCCCTCTTCTCCTTTTCCCAACAAGATTTTCATTATGGCCATTTATGTTAACCCAATAATTCAGAGATAGCTGAATTCGTCTCAATTCGAGTTCCCCCTGTCTGTTTTATAGATTAGCCATGCTTTTATTATCTATTTTCCGCCTCTACTTCCTGTTGTGAAGGGGGGCGGGGTTTGTCGTTATTGACGTGTACTGGCTCTGTTAGAGATGCGCGAGCAGCAGGAGCTACAGCTGATCATCATCCGAGGAACACTAACTAGGTGAGTTCATCATCTGCTGCTTTAACACACACTATAAACACGCACTGTCACATGCTGTTGTAAGTTTGGTGTTTCATTCTGTAAATGATGCGAGAAGGCGCTGCTTCATCTGTTAATAACTGCCCAATGACGGTCATAGGCGCGCGCTCGCTGACTCCTGACGTAAGAGTCCAGTCGCGCTGAATTTTTCGGCGTTTCCATTCTCTCTCTCTCTCTCTCTCTCTCTCTCTCTCTCTCTCTCTCTCTCTCTCTCTCTCTGCGTGTGTGTGTGTGTGATGCTGGGAGTCGTGATGTTGATCTGTTGATCTAATGCTGGAATCACTGCGGCGGAAAAGCAGATCAAATAATATCGTACTCGAATAATAATTATTAATGTAACTGAACTGTAGAAGGTGGAATGAAGTCTTCTGAACGACAGAAACAGTAAGTATTTACAATAACTATAAGTTATTACTTTTAGAAAAAACTGCAACAGCATTTTATATTATTAATTTTTATATTATTATTTATATTTTAATCTGCATTAACAGTCTTTAGTCTATATTTTACTATTTTAGTCTGTCATTCAGGTTCATAATTGAAATGTAGATGTCAAAACCAAAATGCTAATAAAAAAAAAATCACGTGTGTGTGTTTGAGAGAGTACACAGAGCGCTCCCTTTATCGCCATATAAACATAGATGAACTGGGTGGTTTGACCCTGTGTTTGGCCAGTATGCTGTGGTCCCAGATCCCAGTTTGAGGTGTTTATCTCCTGTAGATCTGCTCTGGCACTGACGCTTCACATCTCACATCTCATCATCCAATCAACATCTGCATACACTTCTGAGTGCCACGCCCACATCTCATCATCCAATCAACATCTGCATACACTTCTGAGTGTCACGCCCACATCTCATCATCCAATCAACATCTGCATACACTTCTGAGTGCCACGCCCACATCTCATCATCCAATCAACATCTGCATACACTTCTGAGTGCCACGCCCACATCTCATCATCCAATCAACATCTGCATACACTTCTGAGTGTCTCACTAGTTCATTGGCGGAAAGTGGGTCAAGTGATTGGCGTGGGGGCAGGGAGAGGGAGAGAGAGAGAAGGTGTTGGAAGGGGTTCACCGACCCCAGGGCACGCCACCATCCTGTCCTCCACCAATTGGATGGCCTGGTCCAGCGACGTCGGGCGGTGGCACTGGACCCACTGCACGGTTTTCCGGGGCAGCCGCGCTACGAACTGCTCCAGTACCACCAGATTGATGACTCCCTCGACGTTGCGTCTCTCGCCCATCAGCCACTTGCAGCACGCATCCCGGAGCTGCTGCGCAAAGATGAAGGGTCGGCCGGATTCCCCGAGCTCCAGGGACCGGAAACTCTGTCTGCTCTGCTCTGCTCTGGGGTCGGCCGACCCGCTGCAGGATGGCGCGCATGAGGTCTTCATAGACCAGGAGGTTCTGGACCTGCAGTTGTTGTGCGGCTATCTAGGTTTCTCCGGTCAACAGGGGATCAGCCGCATCGGCCAGTCCGTTGGCGGCCAGCCCCAGGCCTTGGCCGACCTCCCAAAGAGGTCCAGGAAGGCCTCTGGGTCGTCCTGGGGACCCATCTTGTGGAGGGGCATGGGCGGGGCCGAGTCTGGAACTGGTGATGGACCGAACCTCCCAGTCCAACCAGCTCCGGAACTGCTCGCGGCCCTCCTGCTGGGTCCGAAGGAGTGTCTCGAACCGACGCTCCTGTTGCTCCTCCATGGCCAGCAGGGCTTGATGTTGTTGCTGGTGGAGTCCCGCGAGTGCGTTGATGATGTCCGTAAGCGGGGGCGGGGACTGTCTGGCGGCGACTTCTTCTTCCATCCCGGGTTTCGGCACCAGTGTAGCGATGGTTCAGTGTGTGGGCGATGGAAGAAGACGGGTCGGCGTAATTAGGACTCATACTCTTTTATTACACTCAATATAACAGTGGCGCACTGGGCGCTTTCACGTAAACTCAGGTCACTTCAAAGAACACTCTTTACACTTTAAAATATATAACTCTTTCCGCTGCATCAGCTTCTCTTTCACTTCAGCTTTTCTCTGGTTGTTTCTCACGTCGTGTACGAGTTCCCAGGCTCTCTCAATCTGCTCTCCCAATTCAGCTTGCTTTTATGCAGTCTCCCCACGCCAATTACTGCAATCAGAGACAGGTGTTCGTCATTTTGCACTTGAGCTATGGCTCCGCCCTCACCCTCCTGCTACAGATTTCGCTGAACCACGCCCCCCTTGCCACAATCTTGTGGAAAGATGAAGATTTCGCAACATGAACATCAGTAGAAAAGGCAGAGAGCAGAGACTGATACCTACTGAGATCAGATGTGACTTGATTTGCGCCATTTCCTGTCCGCTGCCCTGAGTTCAGTCTTCAGTTCACAAAGAACCTCAGATAGGGGGTTGACCAGGGGTCGGAGGTAGTAGGGCGTGCTGGCCTGGAGGAGAGAGGGCAGACATTGTCTAAAGAAGAGGTTAGAAAGAAGCATAAAGTACCCGTTGCAGTATTCACATCCAGAGATGAGAAATGCGCGGGTGAGGGAAGAGAAGATGACACAGCAGAGGAGAGATGGGATGGAGAAAGTGCACGCAGGTTTCGTCCTGAAAGTAACTGGTAGTGGAGTTGGTGGTGCATGGGTAGTAAGTTGTAGGTTGAAGGTCATGAGGAAATGATCTGAGACGTTGAGAGGTTTCACTAAGATATTGTCTGCGATGCAGTTGCGTGTGTAAATCAGGTCCAGTTGGTTGCCTGACTTGAGTACCTGTGGTGATGAGCCGTTTGAGATCGAATGAGGCTAGGAGAGAGATGAAGTCTGTAGCATACGGCTTCTCTAGATGAATGTTGAAGTCGTCAAAGACTACCAGTGGAGTACCATCCTCAGGGAAAGACGACAGCAGCACATCCAGCTCCTCTACAAAGCTTCCCAGTTGACCTGGGGGGCGATAAATGACTACAATGTGGATCTTAATGGGAGTTGTAAGTGTAATAGTATGATATTCAAATGAGTTATTGCACAGAGAAGGGAGGGTTGAGTATTTCTAATTGTTAGAAATGAGAAGACCAGTGCCGCCTGGCGAGGGGTGTGAGAGCAGACGGGGTTGCGGAGTCTTCTGGACGGATCCCAGGATATTAAGAGTAGAGATGCCAAGGCTGGAATGAAGTCAGCTTTATTGACTTCTGATTGACAATTCCATAATCCCATAGAAAGAGATAGAGGTGAGTGGAGGATAAGGGGATAGGGAGCAGATTAGCAGTATTGCGCTGTGCGTGATGAGAGAGCGTTGTGTTCTGCAGTAGTGTGTATTTGCCTCTGGATCATCACCTGTGTTATATCTGCCCTTCTGCACTGGGAGCCCATTCAGATGTTCAGGGAGAAGACGGGAATGAGCAGAGAGAGTTGAATAATTCATATCCCTGTGCATGATGGGTACGGCTGCTGTCCTTGAAAGCAAGGAAGGCCTGGTGTTGATCATGTAGGCAACAGTGCATGATGCTGAAGGGTTTAGATCCGCCTCTGTTCTACTGCAACCTGGGTGTGCTCTTTGATACCAATCTCTCATTTGAAAGTCACGTGTCTAGTATCTGTAGAACCACATTTTTCCATCTTAAAAATATATCTAAATTACACCATATGCTCTCATTGACGAATGCAGAACAGTTAGTTCATGTGTTCATGACATCAAGGCTAGATTACTGTAATGCTCTACTGGGTGTTTGTCCTGCACGCTTAATAAACAAACTCCAGCTCGTCCAAAACGCAGCCGCTCCAGTTCTTACCAGAACCAGGAAGATTGACCATATTAGCCCGCTTCTGTCAACCCTGCATTGGCTGCCTATTAAACATCGGATACATTTTATAATATTGCTGATTTCTTATAAAGCACTGAATGGTTTATCTCCAGTACTTGAGCGAGCTCTTAACGAATTATAGTCCTTCACGTCTATTGCGATCTCGAAACTCCGGCCAGTTGATAATACCGAGAATATCAAGATTTTTTTAATATTATATATAACTACATAAGGATAGATAATCTGCAATTGTGTGTTTTTAATTAATGTTTAAAGAGAAGGTTTGGTAAGGTGTTGTCCCTAACCCTGACCCATTCACTGACGACTTGATTGTGAAGATGTGTCTAATCTGCAGTGTGTCGTGTCTCAGGTAGTGCTGATGGCTACAGATAGAGGGATAGTGGAAGACTGGCTCTCAGAGTTCAAGGTGAGTCAAGTAGCATGCAGTATTAAGGCTCGATGGTGTGTGTGTTTCCAGATAAACAGACTGCTGCTTCAGGAAGGATGCTGTGCCTTATTATCTTGAACACACACACAGTTGAGGATAGCACTGTTCATTCAGGGGAATGCTGTAATGTTGGGGTTCTCAACATATTAATCAACATATTAGTCAAATGTGTTGGGATTTTCCTCCTTGCATAATCACCCAAACAAAACACATAAAGACCTGTAGAAACTGTGACCCTAAAATCTAAATTGTGTAATTAGCAGCATGATGGTAAAAGTAAAATTTTCAGACTGTCAGACCTATTGGGGTTTTTCTAGTTTCTGAAGTAGATGATGGTCAAGGCTGCAGGAAAGTAGACGCTCTTGATCTTGTGGCTGTTGTTGAACAATGGAGCGTTTTTAACTCTTTATGTAAGCGCACAGAATCTGGGCCTAATACAGATTATCTGAACACCTCTTTAGATTTGTGTTGGTTTGTTTTGAACCCAGTGCTGGTTTGTGTTGTAATGATGTTGAGTGTGTGTGTGTGTGTGTGTGTGTAGGGCCTGTCTGAAGCGCAGCTGTCCGGCTATGCTGGGATCCTCCCCCAGAAGGATACGCTGGTGTCTGCCCTCTACAGAGTCATTCAGGACCCCGACACTGAGGTCTCTCTCACTCACACACACACACACACACACACACACACACACACCTCCTCAGACTCCTGAGCATCTTCTGTGTGTTCACAGCTGCTGGAGCCTGTGTGCCACCAACTCTTCGAGCTGTACCGCAGTTCAGAGGAGCGTCTGCGCCGCTTTACTCTGCAGTTCCTGCCCGAGCTGCTCTGGGTTTACCTGCGCAGACGCAGACACAACAGCAGCTGCATAGAGGCTCTTCTGCTGGGCATTTACAACCTGGTGAGTGTGTGTGTGTCTGTGTGTGTGTGTCTAGTAAGCGAACTGTGTTTAGCTAGAGCTGGTGTGTGTGTGTGTGTGTGTGTGTGTGTGTCTAGTAAGCGAACTGTGTTCAGCTAGAGCTGGTGTGTGTGTGTGTGTGTCTAGTAAGCGAACTGTGTTCAGCTAGAGCTGGTGTGTGTGTGTGTGTGTGTGTCTAGTAAGCGAACTGTGTTCAGCTAGAGCTGGTGTGTGTGTGTGTGTGTGTCTCACACTGCTGCTGGTTGAGGAGAGATCCCCTGATAGAGACGTTGATCATGTTCTGTGCTCGTCACAGTCTCGCATCTCCACGACCGACGGTTTAGGCCAGAATGACCCGACTACATCTACCGAGTTTACCAAATACTATATGATATATGTTCTATATTTAATCAGACATTGAGAGTGATGTTCAGGCCATATAGCAGGAGGAGAACTGAAAAGCAATATAATAATAAAAGTGGCTTAAGAACTCAAATCAGATCCTTAGATCCTTCAGTGTCTTTGAATAAAAGCACTTGATGTGCTGTAATATGCCCTCAGTGTCACACATGTTTATATTGTATGTTTTACAGGAAATTGTGGATAAAGACGGAAACAGCAAGCTGTTATCTTTCATGATCCCGTCCCTGTCCAAACCATCCATATATCATGAGGTAAACAACACGCATACAGCCTTGTTTTACTCCTGCTAAACTTCTAAACTGAATTAGTTTCCTACCTTAAGTAACACAATAACATCCAAAACACGAGTTCTGCAGAATTAAAGATTAACGTCATTCCACAACCTTTTCAACTTACTTTTTTTCTAAATAATGTTTTGATTTTTAGACATCTAATATAACACTTTGAACCCATGTGTTCCTCATCTGTGTTCCCCCTAGATCACCCTGAAGCTAGTAGTTATAGAAAAGTTTAGATTTTTTTTAATCAATTTTAGTCTGCGCACACCACACACCAGAAGTCTGCGCACACCACACACCAGAAGTCTGCGCACATCACACACCAGAAGTCTGCGCACATCACACACCAGAAGTCTGCGCACATCACACACCAGAAGTCTGCGCACATCACACACCAGAAGTCTGCGCACATCACACACCAGAAGTCTGCGCACATCACACACCAGAAGTCTGCGCACATCACACACCAGAAGTCTGCACACATCACACACCACACACCAGAAGTCTGCGCACACCACACACCAGAAGTCTGCGCACACCACACACCAGAAGTCTGCGCACATCACACACCAGAAGTCTGCGCACATCACACACCAGAAGTCTGCGCACACCACACACCAGAAGTCTGCGCACATCACACACCAGAAGTCTGCGCACACCACACACCAGAAGTCTGCGCACACCACACACCAGAAGTCTGCGCACACCACACACCAGAAGTCTGCGCACACCACACACCAGAAGTCTGCGCACACCACACACCAGAAGTCTGCGCACACCACACACCAGAAGTCTGCGCACACCACACACCAGAAGTCTGCGCACATCACACACCAGAAGTCTGCGCACACCACACACCAGAAGTCTGCGCACACCACACACCAGAAGTCTGCGCACATCACACACCAGAAGTCCAGAAGTCTGCGCACACCACACACCAGAAGTCTGCGCACACCACACACCAGAAGTCTGCGCACACCACACACCAGAAGTCTGCGCACACCACACACCAGAAGTCTGCGCACACCAGAGATTATAAAATGTATTCCTTGAAAGAGGGCCATTAGGAAACTCAGCTTTTCCATATCATCCATTTATGATTGATGTTTCATATGATTTATTTGTTTAACATTATGATTTATGATTATTATGACGTCATTAATTGTGCTAATCTTCAGGATACGTGGTGTGCAGTGTACATTCTAGGACATCCTGAGACGTCAGTCATATGATGAACAGCTATCACGCCTCAGACTGAAAGGTCTCCGCTCTCATACAGACTTTAAGGCAACACATGAAGGCATTGGGCGAAATGGAGTCAAGGCCCCGATATATATTCACTGCAGATTTCTTTGTTCTTCATGTCACAGTTCACCCTAGTCATCATCCTCTTCACTACACTTCCCAGCATCCATCCTGGTTCCCACCTGCTCGTCATTCCTCATCACCTCCACTGTAAAGGCACACTCCTCACCACAGTTGTTGTTCAGCCGACCTTGTTCGTTTGTGTCATGTGGACTCATCTCCCTCTCTCCAGCGCCTTCCTCCATCTTCCCCCACGTGCGCTCCTCATCCCTGCACCTTTATTGTCAATAATCTCACTCTGCGCCGGTTTCACGCAGCCGCCATTTTGAAATGGAAAGCGAGTCTCCGGTGGGAAGAACCCAGAAGTACAGATAGACAACAATGCCTTGAGCACCAACCTGAAGCTGCTGCCGAGATCTACACCATTGGAGGTTAACGTCCAATATAGGACATGTATATAGTTCACACTGCTGAGAGCGACGTTTAGATGAATATGTAAATATGTTTTTTGTATAAGTTTTAGTCTGTTTGCTGTTATCCAGATGTTCAGATGTCTTCTGTAGCAGTAGCAGGACTACAGGCGGTGCTGGGGAGGAGGAGGGACGACAGAAGCTTTCACATCGCAGGCTAGGGTACGACATACAGCGTGGATATGGAGATACTTCTGATTGGCTGGTGCAACAATGTTGAAAGAACCATCGGCGTGGGAGATGTTCTATACGTGTCATAAATTTGCTTTAAAACCGTAAGAATAAAATATATTGAGGTACAGCTTACCTCTGTTCCACTTCTGAACCAATCAAAGCGAAACGTTCACGCTGGTTCCTCAGTAGTCCGTTTGGCCCATGCCTTGTGTCTGATGCCTTGTACAATCGGGCGAAAACCCCTCAGACACGAGACCTGAGACCTGATGTTGCTCTTCCTGAGATCTAAAGCTTTCAGTCTGAGGCGCAATGCGGTTTGGTCATATGACTGAGGTCTGAGGATGTCCTCAAATGTACACCGTGGTGTCCCTAATCTCTGTTTAGTGTCTAAACGTGTGTGTGTGTGTGTGTGTGTTTAGCCGTCCAGTCTGGGCTCCATGGGTTTGACTGAGGGAGCGCTCTGCCAACATGACCTGATCCGAGTGATGTACAGCGGCCTGCACCCGCAGAGAGAGACTTTCACTGCCCAGAACAGGTCATTGTTGGAGAAGTGTTTCTTTACAGATGTTTCCAAAGGAAAGATGTGTCAAATTAACTAACAAATTCGTCAATAGTTTTCCCAATTCACGTGTACAGGTGATTTTGTGTTCTGATGTTGTGTGTCTGCAGGTTTGAGGTGCTGTGTTTCCTGATGCTGTGCTATAATTCAGTGCTGGTCTACATGCCGTCCTCCTCACACCAGGCCGTCTGCAGAATGAGCTCCCGGTGAGATCCGTAACCCAACATGACGGCGGTTCTGACCTGAACAGACCCGAGTCCGTCCGACCCCAGAGCTGACCCGATTAGAGGGATGAACAGGGAGAAGGGCTGTCAATAGATTAACATTTTTAATCACCATTAACGCCCCCCTTTTTGTGAAATTATTCTTGTTTAGCATTATATCCAGCAAAGTAAACTATCAGATTGAAGGTTGATTCTCACAAAATTGTATTTTCTGCCAGTTTTGAAGGTAAATTTTGGTTTCTTTCCAAAAAATTACACTTTGAGATTCCAAAACGACAGAATAAACAAAAGATACGAGTCCATATAATTCATAAGTTTATGCACACCAAAGCATCCATGAAAAAAACATCTTTTCAGAATTAGTGTATAGTATATACACTACCGGTCAAAAGTTTTAGATCGGTAAGATTTTTTATGTTTTTAAAAGAAGCCTCTTCTGCTCACCAAGGCTGTAATTATTTGATAAAAAATACAAAAAAAAAAAAACAATAATATTGTGAAATATTAAAATTTAAAACAGCGGTTTTCTATGTGAATATATAGTGAAGTGTAATTTATTCCTGTGATCAAAGCTGAATTTATCATCATTACTCCAGTCTTCAGTGTCACATAATCCTACAGAAATTATTATAATATGATGCTTAAGAAACATTTATGATTATTATCCATGTTGAAAACAGTTTTTTACATTTTTATTTCAGGATTCTTTGATGAATAGAAAGTTCAAAAGAACAGAATTGATCTGAAATGGAAATCTTTTGTAACATTAATCACTACCATTCAAAAGTTTGGGGTCAGTAAGAATTTATTTTTTATTTTTGGGGGAAAGAAATTAGAAAATACTTTTATTCATCAAGTATGAGTTAAATTGATCAAAAGTTACAGTAAAGACATTTATAATGTTAGAAAAGATTATATTTTAAATAAATGCTGTTCTTTTGAACTTTCTATTCATCATAGAGATTTGGGGGGGAAATGGTACACAACTGTTTTCAACATTGAAAATAATAAATTATGTTTTTGAGCATAAAATCAGCATATTAGAATGATTTCTGAAGGATCATGTGACACTGAAACTGGTGTGTAATCAGCAACAGTAATGATGTTGAAAATTCAGCTTTCAAATTACATTTTAAAATATATTAAAATAGAAAACAGTCATTTTAAATGGTCATAATATTTCACAATATTACTGTTTGTCTTTTTTTTTCATCAAATAAAGCAGCCTTGGTGAGCAGAAGAGACTTCATTTAAAAACATAAAAAATCTTACTGATCTAAAACTTGTGACCGTAGTGTATGTCGAGTGCAACAGCACAGAGCTTGTTTAGATATTAGACGAGTCGAGTTGCGATACCGAACAGGACCACATATTACACATCAATATAACAGACTGATGCATTTACTGTACGTCACTGCGATCGATCCTAACACTGAAAAGACTATTCTCAGGGGTGTGATATGAAATGAGTTCATTGATCCGTTGTTTTCTTGATGGAGAATGAGTCGACTTCCAGGTCCCTAATCCCACAGTTCCTGGAAACAGTGTGAAATACTTTTTATGATGAGAGGAACCTAATATATCAGTATCCCCTAATATTCAAAGTCTACAATCATTACTAATTGGGAATCCTTTGAAGATATATCAATAATCACCATTACCTTGATTACAATCAGCATCCATCATCCACATACATTAATGATGCCATTTGACATGCTTCAGGAATCACATTCGAGAACATCGACAGTCCTGATAGGGAGATAGATGTTTAACTGGCATGTTGTGTAACTGGGGTACTGGTGTGTTGTGTAACTGGTGTGTTGTGTAACTGGGGTACTGGTGTGGTGTGTAACTGGTGTGTTGTGTAACTGGGGTACTGGTGTGGTGTGTAACTGGTGTGTTGTGTAACTGGTGTGTTGTTTAACTGGTGTGTTGTGTAACTGGGGTACTGGTGTGGTGTGTAACTGGTGTGTTGTTTAACTGGTGTGTTGTGTAACTGGGGTACTGGTGTGGTGTGTAACTGGTGTGTTGTGTAACTGGGGTACTGGTGTGGTGTGTAACTGGTGTGTTGTGTAACTGGTGTGTTGTTTAACTGGTGTGTTGTGTAACTGGGGTACTGGTGTGTTGTGTAACTGGTGTGTTGTGTAACTGGGGTACTGGTGTGGTGTGTAACTGGTGTGTTGTGTAACTGGTGTGTTGTGTAACTGGTGTGTTGTGTAACTGGTGTGTTGTGTAACTGGTGTGTTGTGTAACTGGTGTGTTGTGTAACTGGGGTACTGGTGTGTTGTGTAACTGGTGTGTTGTGTAACTGGGGTACTGGTGTGTTGTTTAACTGGCATGTTGTGTAACTGGGGTACTGGTGTGTTGTGTAACTGGTGTGGTGTGTAACTGGTGTGTTGTGTAACTGGTGTGTTGTGTAACTGGTGTGTTGTGTAACTGGTGTGGTGTGTAACTGGCATGTTGTGTAACTGGGGTACTGGTGTGTTGTGTAACTGGTGTGGTGTGTAACTGGTGTGGTGTGTAACTGGTGTGTTGTGTAACTGGTGTGGTGTGTAACTGGCATGTTGTGTAACTGGGGTACTGGTGTGTTGTGTAACTGGTGTGGTGTGTAACTGGCATGTTGTGTAACTGGGGTACTGGTGTGTTGTGTAACTGGTGTGGTGTGTAACTGGTGTGTTGTGTAACTGGTGTGTTGTGTAACTGGTGTGTTGTGTAACTGGTGTGGTGTGTAACTGGCATGTTGTGTAACTGGGGTACTGGTGTGTTGTGTAACTGGTGTGGTGTGTAACTGGTGTGTTGTGTAACTGGTGTGGTGTGTAACTGGTGTGTTGTGTAACTGGTGTGTTGTGTAACTGGGGTACTGGTGTGTTGTGTAACTGGTGTGTTGTGTAACTGGTGTGTTGTGTAACTGGTGTGGTGTGTAACTGGTGTGGTGTGTAACTGTTATGTTGTTTATCTGGTGGTGTGTAACTGGTGTGGTGTGTAACTGGTGTGGTGTGTAACTGGTGTGTTGTGTAACTGGTGTGGTGTGTAACTGGTGTGTTGTGTAACTGTTATGTTGTTTATCTGGTGGTGTGTAACTGGTGTGGTGTGTAACTGGTGTGGTGTGTAACTGGTGTGTTGTGTAACTGGTGTGTTGTGTAACTGGTGTGGTGTGTAACTGGTGTGTTGTGTAACTGGTGTGTTGTGTAACTGGTGTGGTGTGTAACTGGTGTGTTGTGTAACTGGTGTGGTGTGTAACTGGTGTGTTGTGTAACTGTTATGTTGTTTATCTGGTGGTGTGTAACTGGTGTGGTGTGTAACTGGTGTGGTGTGTAACTGGTGTGTTGTGTAACTGGTGTGTTGTGTAACTGGTGTGTTGTGTAACTGGTGTGTTGTGTAACTGGTGTGGTGTGTAACTGGTGTGTTGTGTAACTGGTGTGGTGTGTAACTGGTGTGGTGTGTAACTGTTATGTTGTTTATCTGGTGGTGTGTTGTGTAACTGGTGTGGTGTGTAACTGGTGTGTTATTTAATGGGTGTGTTGTGTAACTGGTGTGGTGTGTAACTGGTGTGGTGTGTAACTGTTATGTTGTTTATCTGGTGGTGTGTTTACCTGGTGTGGTGTGTAACTGGTGTGTTGTGTAACTGTTATGTTGTGTAACTGGTGGTGTGTTTACCTGGTGTGGTGTGTAACTGGTGTGGTGTGTAACTGTTATGTTGTGTAACTGGTGGTGTGTTTATCTGGTGTGGTGTGTAACTGGTGTGGTGTGTAACTGGGGTACTGGTGTGGTGTGTAACTGGTGTGGTGTGTAACTGTTATGTTGTGTAACTGGTGGTGTGTTTATCTGGTGTGGTGTGTAACTGGTGTGTTATTTAATGGGTGTGTTGTGTAACTGGTGTGTTGTTTAAAGGTGCCTTCTGGGATAAAAAATCAAATCATACACCATATTCCATACCAGATGGGGGCAGTATACCTCCAGAAAAATACCTCCGCGGCCGCGCACTCATGTCTTCAAACAACACGGGCGAGCGGGTCTTCCTCGCGCATATTAATCAGTAAAACTAATACTAAAAGGTTGGAAGACCGCAGTTTCACGTGGATCATTTGGAGATTTTCAGAGATTAGAGACTAAATGAACAACATCTCAATACTGAATTATAAAGGCCGTCTCATAGACAAGCCGGTGCATTTCGACGATATGGGAAAATTAAAGCCCAGGCATTTTTAGTTTATGGTATTCGTTTTGTTCATGTTACATTTTTATCATTAGTTTGAATTAATTTGACAGACAGCATTCCCTGATGTGGACCAAACTAGTGTCTTTCAGAACTGCCAACTCTCACAAATTCACCGTGAGACACACAACTTTTCACACACTCACGCCACATCCATTTTGTCATGCACAGAAAAGGACACAGAGACCGATCTCAGCTCTCAGATTCTGTTCATTTTATTACACAATTCAAACAATAAATGCAGTTTTGGCGCTTGTAAATGTTAGACGACAGATCCATAGCGCACGTGAATCGATCATCTTTGCTAACGTTAGCTAATGATAAAAGAACACGAACACTGTTGAAAGATATGTTACAACTTACCAAAATGTATTCCTCATGCATAATAATATCGACCAATCATTTATTTAACTCATCCCTGAACTGAAATTTAGTAGTGGGCTGTATTTCCACACGACATCACGACATGACATCAGGTTCAAGTACACACAAGCCGGCGCGACTTACTCGTGTTACTGCAGTTTGGCTGGTGCTAACGTTGCCTGCCCGCATACCGCCTCCCATGGCCGAAACTGGTATTACGACACCTGCCGGGCCGGGGCTAGTAATTTAGCATGCTAATTCAGGTTAATATCTCGGCAGCACTATAACTTGCCAGTTTTTTAATGACATCATTGCACTTATTTCTTCTCATTCTTTTGATGTGTGTAGCTCATTTTTTGGATATTTTTACCTCAATTATTCCATATGGCACCTTTAATGGGTGTGTTGTGTAACTGGTGTGTAACTGTTGTGTTGTGTAACTGGTGTGTTGTTTGTTGTGTTGTGTAACTGGTGTGTTGTTTAACGGGTGTGTTGTGTAACTGCTGTATAACGGGTGTGTGATGTGCTAGGCTGTGCGTGTGTGGGTTTCCTCGGCAGCAGCTGAAGGCATGGACGGCTCCCTGCATACGTGTGTTGTTGGACCCAGAGTTCATGGTGCAGATGCTGACTGCGGTCTATCATGCCATGTAAGTGTGAACACGTCTCATTCCTTCCAGCCTCAGTTTAGCGCTGTTGGATCACTAACGGATCCCTTTCGAAAAGCAACTCGCAATGGGTCGATGCCGCTTTGGAGAACGCCTCCGCATGAACCTGTGTCTGAAACGCTCATCCAATCACTGGAATCCTATTGACGACGGTGAAGAGGATACACAACCCGAACCCTCACAGCCACCCAAACCCGAACCCTCACAGCCACCCAAACCCGAACCCTCACAGCCACCCGAACCCGAACCCTCACAGCCACCCAAACCCTCACAGCCACCCGAACCCGAACCCTCACAGCCACCCGAACCCTCACAGCCACCCGAACCCGAACCCTCACAGCCACCCGAACCCGAACCCTCACAGCCACCCGAACCCGAACCCTCACAGCCACCCGAACCCGAACCCTCACAGCCACCCGAACCCGAACCCTCACAGCCACCCTGCCCCGCGTATGTAGCGTTGTGAGTTATGGAAGTTTAGCTTCAGCTGCCGTAGGAGTGCGTGAGGGAAGAGACTGCTTGTGGCAGACTTGATGAAAGGTTTTCTCTCCACCCATGAAGCTCCAGCTCCCGTGAGCTTTACATTCCTGCCCGATTTACACAATGAGATCGAAAAGGCATGGAAGAACCCGTGTTCAGCGCTCATTCATCGCCATCAGCGCACGGACTCTGCTGATGTTGAGGGGATGCAGGAACACAGGTATGCAGGGACCGCACAACACTGTAGTCTGAAACTGCACTTCCTCACCCTGCATCAACCCTGAGGCTGAACCTATGATGAGTTATTCCTTCAGTTTAGACACCCGTCAGGTGTGATGGTATGTGCGCTCTTTCGAGCTTTTATGGTGATAGGCCTCCTTTTGCGAATGTCGTTTAGGCCATCCCTCTGTGGGCAGCAGGTTGAGCTCTTTAGGTTTCCTCCCTTTATGAGAGTTTTAGTAAGGTTGAAGAGTAGACCACAGTTCACTGTTAGAAAGGATCATGGGGGTTTTAGGTAGGGTTTTTATATTGTGTTAGAGTCAGCAGGCTTTTGTAGTGGGTAGTGCCAATCTGTAGTAGTGAACAGGTGGGCTTTATTACATGGAAATTCTCTAGCTAGGCCTCCGTTCATCCGAGCATCAAACAGACATTTCTGTGAGAGATGGCTTCCGCCCTAGGCCACCGCTCTGTCAAGTTACAGATAGAACTACAAAGTCAAGTGTTGACCCTCGTAGGGCCACCGTTATTGCCGCCTTATACAAGAGCAGCAGATCTCCTCTCACTTTGAAAGACGTTTTGAGATCGCTATGAACTTCAGTCACTGATGCCTGTGACATTCCAAGCTGTAGGCCTTACAGTAGAGCCCCTCGATAGTCCGAGTGCAAGACCTACTCCCCTTGCTTTAGAGAGTCAATAGCTCTTCAGCTGAGTGCACTATCTGTTGGCAATGTAAACCCTAGATCTGGAGGCGCTCCCCTTATTAGGGTCCCTTTTACAGTGCCCAGCCTCCACAGGGCTTTGAAGCACTGGGTAGATCCAGGATCGAGTAGAGTCACTCCCCTCGTTTGCAAGGGTTCTAGTTCTACTCTCCAGGATCTCTATTATCCGGTCTGTGAGCGATCACTGCCACTATCTGCAGTCCTGCCTATCGGTTGCCTCCACAAGTGAGGCAAGGTATGTTAGAGACTCTGTTTAGGAAACAGACAGGTTGTTGACCAGACTAGGTCAGTAAAATTAGACCAGGTCAGCCTCCCTGGTGGCATATGGGGTTGACTTGATGTCCCACTCAGAAAGTGACTGGATGGGACTCCTTTCGGACCCCTTGGCCTTAGCCACGGAAGCTGCCTTTGAGCGGCCTTGGTAGGCCTTGATTGTATTGGAGGCCTCTTTGAGTGGCCGTAGGGAATACTGTCAGTGACAGCCTGAATGTGACCCAAAGCGGGGAATGTTTTTTCCAGAAAGACACTGCGTCTTTCGCCATGGCTCTTGGATGCCTGCACAGTCTTTCAGACGATAAGTTGTTGACATGTTCTCTAGCCTCCCCTAATATACTTCCGGGTCGCACTAGCAGTGACGTCATTGGCTGTCGCCGGCCAATAGTATTGCCGTGATTAGATAAGCGTTTCAGACACCGGTTCACGTGGAGGGGTTCCCTAAAGCATCATCATTAAGTAAAAATAAAATAAAAATGATCTTGTCCCCATTTGTGTTTTGTCTCAAAATAAGAAACACTTACAGTGACCCCATGTTGGCTCTTCTACCTGTTCTTTTCATAGCTGGTAGCCCACATTGTGAAATGTTGTCCCATTTAGAGCACTGGTAATCCGCATTTGGTAATCTTGAAAACTTTGTATCTGGATCAGGGTGATCCAGTCCAATGTTGCTTTGAAAAACCGGCATAAAAGTAAGACGGATTACCTGATACTGGATGGGAAAAAATGGGATTTCCAAATCCGGATCATTTTGATCCAGATTAAATGTTTTGAACAACTGACCCAAGGGAATCACATGAATGAATGTACCTTTTTTCCATGTCCCGCTCCGGATCTGCCCATATTTATTCCTCTGTCTTGGGTGGAAAGAAGGTGTAATGAGTCTTGCTCTGGTGTTTCACTGTTGTGTGTGTGTGTCAGATATAACGGGGAGTGGGATGCCGGGAGAGAGGCGCTGGATGATATCCTGTACAGAGCTCAGCTGGAGCTGTATTCGGAGCCGCTGCTGGTACGACTCTAACACACCTGTGTTGTTCCTGTCTGAGGATTGTTCTCTCTGCTGCGACTGAAGCTCTGTCTGTCCTGTGACGTTTAGCTGGGCACGGCCATGAAGACCTCGCTGCCCGACAGCAAACCAGACGGATCCCAGGGGAAGAAGATTCTGCAGGTGGAGGAGACTCCCACCATCCGCCGGATCTCCCACTGCACCATCACAGCGGCATCCATCCGCAGACTGCGCTGGAAGAGAGAGGGTACGCTCACACACACACACACACACACACACACACACACACACACACGCCTGACCGGATCTCACAAACACTGTCCGAATCCTCCTGGTTCACAGCTACACTACTTTTCCTTGTTTCAGAAGCATCAAATTAAACATATTTTATAATTTTTCACTAGATCCACTTAAAATGGGCCTATTAAAGGGACTATTGATTATAACACGAGTCACTGATAAACTGGTGCTGTGGGATTGACAGCTCCAGCGATTATAAAGGGAGCCGAGTCACAAAGGGTTGGAGATCCTGCAATAATAGGGACAATCCAAACATGTAATCCAAAGTACAGACGAGGTCAAACACAAGCAGGCAGATCATGAAAACAAACAAGACAAGACAAGGCCAAAACGGGCAAAAGAGAAATCCACAGAACCTGCAAGAAATCCAAAACCAAGAGACATCAAACTAGGAAAATGCTCAGAGATGCAGTGAAATCAACTAACAGAACTTTGCGTCGAGTGAGAGGGTGAACCAGGCTTTTATAGACCAATCCGGCGAAACTACCGGAAGTAAGCGGGCGCCATTACTGAGCTGTTGCTGGGTAGCGTTGCGCCATTGCCTCCTATTGTTGTAGTTGCAACTTGCGTCCACTGGAATAAACAGCCCGCGATTTACGACTGTCACTAACGTTACAACGTTACATTGTACAATGTCGAGTGGGTAAACAGTTTCCGTTATAAATTGTTTCAATGGTGGCAGTAAAATTTCAATTTTGAAGAGAAAACACATTGTGAATACCCCGGGTCGACTGCCCCTGTCTGGTGCCGTACGGTTTACACTGGGCGAGTACAAGACGCGGACATTCGCGTATAATAACAATTATTTAATGACATAAGTAAAAAAATATAATAAATATGTGATATAGTGATCAGCAAAATCTCCTCTCTTGCTATTTTTTCTATTCAATTAACATGCTATGATCATTACATGGATTTCCTGAGCTAAATGTAACGTTATGTGACATAATTGTTCTCCCGCTGTTATATTGACCTCTTTCCATGGTTTAAAAACACTAATTGGTCGATATTATGTATACTTTCTAGCTGTAACGTTAACTTACCTTACCCTTGCCCGTTGCAATGTGAAAATGAGATAAATAATGGACACAAATGAAAAACATGAATTTGTTTATTTGATTTCATTCATTTATTTATTTATTTATTGTTGCCAAATGGACAGATCTTTTTCCTCGTTAGCAAACGTTAGCCTAGCTAGCTTGCCAAGCTATTTTCATAAATAATCCGTAAGATCGTTTGTACCTTCATCTGTGACTGGAGGCCACTGTCTGACATCATCAACCCAACAAGTCATTCTGCCTGGCTGTAGCTGTCATCGAGGGCGCGTTATCACTGAGGTTTGTTCAGACACCGGTGCATATGTCTATGGCGGTGTAACAGCTCAGTAATGGCGTCGCCACAAGATGGCAGCCTACACATAACGCTTGTCGGATTCGTCTATAGGCAGAGCTAATGAAGCTAATGATTAACAGCTGTATGTAATCATGGCTTATAAGTCCAGCAACGGATTATGGGTAATGGAGTCTGTGAAGCTGTGGTAATAGTCCGGGTTGGTCTGCCCTGCACTCTTACTGGTGATTGTTACAGGAGCGTTCTTTTATGCTTTCTGTATATATTTATTTAATAATAATTTAAATAACAGATTATTTTCATGCTACTAAGAGAAACAATGTAAAGTTGACCGTTTAGTCATTTGCTTCATTTACTGACACATAAACGGCAATAAATGGTTTTGAGACAAAGAACATCTGATTGTACATGAATCGTATATCAGAAATCACTGGTCACAGATCAGGCATTAGAATAAACACAGGAACTTGCATGTTGTGGCATTACTTTCGGTCCTATATGAGCCTTTACTCATTATAGTCATTTTAGTCATCCTAGGTGTATATGACATTCTTCTTTCAGATGAATACAATCAAAGTTGTATTAAATAAAATGTCCTGGGTCTTCCAAGCTTTATAATGGCAGTGAATGGATGTATACTTTCCATAAAGTGCATCCATCCATGATAAAAGTGCTCCACATGGCAGGGGTTAATGAAGGCCTTCTGAAGTGAAGCGATGCCTGAGAAAAATATGCATATTTAAAACTTTATCGACTAAAATAACTAGCTTCCAGCAGACGGCCTACAAAAGTCGACTTGTGTCGTACAGCGTAACACTGGGTGATGTACGGCGTAGGATGTAGGAGCAGCGTAAGCTTTGAGGCCTCTGGCGGTTCAAACAAACAGGGCTGGGCACCAAACTCCAGCTCCTCCGACGGTTAGTCTTCCACCGTAAATCGCCGTGTACGGCCGTCTGCTGTAAGCTAGCTATTTTAGTCGAAGTTTTAAATATGGATGTTTTTTTTACACAAACGCATCACTTCACCTTCATGGTCGAGTCCCGAGGTCACGCCCTGTGTGACAACAGATCACCCCAGATCACCCCAAACCCTCAGCCGTGACCTGACCTTTCGCTCCTCCGGGCCAACCGCTCCTAGAACCAGGTCCACTTGCAAGAGCACTTTTATGACGATAGATGCACTTCATGTACTTCAGGAAATATACAGCTAATCACTGCCATTATAAAGCTTAGAAGATCACTATCATCCATTTTAGAGCATATCTCCTTGATTTACATACACGTGTTAAGGGTCATGTAGAGGAAAATCATGTTGTGAATTAGGCAAATCAAATAATGGCATTGCAGGACGCTGAAAACTGAAACCTCATATTTTAAACTGATTAGTTAGATTTGAGGTAATGTATTTTTTAATATATATATATATATATATAGATGAAGTTACAGATATAGACTTGGCCATCACCCTCTGTATCTTTCTTCTGGTCCATTTGTTTGTGGATTTGTATGCTTGTTTAGACCATTAAGATGTTAAAAGGTCCACTCTCAGTTGTAATGATGATCTCTCATTGTCTCAAGCACTCTTTGGTATAAAAGAGCACTTAATTGAACAAGAGTCAGGTTAACACTTGCAAAACTAATCTTATAAAAACTAAAGTCTCAAAAAAAAAGAAAATAAGACTAGACGTGTGTACCAGGCTAGACTTGTCATGGGGACGGCCCACTGTGGTCAGATTGCCAGTAGACTGAAACCTCCATTTGTAGATTATTTTACATGGAGGGGAATCGTAAATTAAATAGTTTGGCATTAAGATGGGCTTTAAATCACTTTCCAGACAACAAGCCACATCAGCCTGCCTTCTGAGGGGACCTATGAACATAACATGATGGACCTATGTACATAAATCCATATGACCAAACCAAACCAGCTTATTGAGTCTTACATAAGGTGTGTGTCACAAATGAACGTTGAGACATGCGTCTGTTAGTATCCTATTGAATGATGCCAATGCAACTGGATTGGCCAATGGTGTTTGAGCCTGTTTTTTGTTTTGTTTTTTTGTGGCAAAAATGTGAACTGTAAAAGCACGACCATTGCCTCTGAATCTTCCTCTTGCACTTTGCTGCTGTGAGACACCTCAGCTTTCTCTCCTGCAGCAGTGAACGAGACACGCTGCTCTCACACACCCGTGAGCCGTCCTTCGCCATGTTCCAGTGGGGAGTCATGGAAATATCCTCTTCACATGTGAAATGAGCAACAGGCTCAAAGGCTTGCCTTCGCCACAGTGTTTCTCAACTCCAGTCCTCTGGACCCACCTCCCCGAAGGTCTATTCAACACACTTAGAAGCTTATGAGTTGAATCAGGTGTTTTAATTAGTGAGGCATCTGAAACATTCTGGTAGGTGGGTCCCCACGACTGGAGGAAGTTAAAGTTTAACTGGTTCATAATTAACTGGCCATTTACAGTTTGTTTGGCCAAATTAAGTTGGTTAAATCAGTGCTTTCTGAACTTCACTGTGCCCAAAACCACAAGAACACCGGATCCCTCTTTTCGGATCAGTACCATGGACACTTTATCTCCCCCCCCCCACCCCTTTTTTTTTCTGGGTGGTTTTTAAAGTTTATTGTATTAAAAAGAAACACCTCTTCAATGCCTGAAGTCACAACCACTGTGCCTGTCTTCACTCACCTCGACAACTAATAGTACATTTTACATATGTCATGTCTGTTGTCAGTCATTTCTTTTTTAAGGCCATTGGCTGGTATTAACAACTACAAAGTAATTAATTATGGTTATACTGTAAATTAATTAAAATAAGAAAAAGACTAGATAGTAAAGTCTGTAGACAAACTTTGACCTATTTATAATGTTTGTTTAAAATAGTATAAAAACATTTTTTTATTCAAAGTTTTCACCATCAGTTTACATTACATTTATTAATTTAGCTGACAGGTAGACCGCACAAGTCAGAATAAGTCAGATGGGTTTATAAAAACACAGAGTATGTTCTTAACATACCTCCACCTGCTTCTCCCCCAGTCCCTTCTTATTTCAGGGAATACCGATCAACCCGTTCACTATTACATCCCTTGTCATGAACAATTTTTATACGCAGTATCACCTTACCATCATTGCCTTGTCTTGTCCTGAGTTTGTAAGACCTCACTACCTCGTGTCCTCATCTGTGTGTTTTTCATGTGATTATAGAATTCATCCATTTTCCTTCAAGTTACTGTGCCTCTTTCTCACCTTGGTCATTGCGATTCTGTATTTGTCTACTCTGGTGTTCTACGATAAACATCCTCCATTTTCAACATCATTGTCTTAGTCTATGACAGAAGACAAAACCAACACTGCAACATGGAGATAACACAGTGACTGGGATTGTTCTTTGCTACCATCAAGACCTTGGTGCAAGATCTGCTACAATTTCTACAAACCTCTCCAATCTCACTGACCAGTGGCAAAGAGGACCCTTCTGATCCACTATCGGTTTAGTCACAATTAGCCAGCGCTCCTCCACAAACTTCCGCCACCCATTCTTCTTTGATACGTCCCACGGGCATCACTTCTCGGACAGAGGTCTGCAAGTGTCT